TTTATGCAAACACAAATGTATAAAATGTGTTTGTGTTTGTATAAAACGAGAGGAAATTGTATATATACATATATTTTCGTTCCCCTCTCCCAGATCTTGCTCGCCACCCTCGCCTCTCTCGCTTATACAAACTGAAAACAAAATGTATAAATTGCGCTTATGTTTGTATAAAGCGAGAGAAAATTATAAATACATATGCAAATACATATATATTCGTCCTATACACTTATAATTATACAATAGAAATATTTTTCTGCCCAGTTTTCTTTTCCTTTCTCTCTATCTCGTTTTATACATACACAAATTATACAATTGATCTTTTGTATACAACTGCTTCTGTTTGTATAAAGCGAGAGAAAATTGTATATACACATGCAAATACATATATATTCGTCCTATACACTTATAATTATACAATACAAATATTTCTCTGCCCAGTTTTCTTTTGCCTTTCTCTCTTTCTCGTTTTTATACATGTACAGATTATACAATTGATCTTTTGTATACAACTGCTTTCTTTTGTATATGTATAGCAAATTATACAACTGTATTCTTTGTATATGTATAGCGAATTATACAACTGTTTTTTTGTATATGTATAGCGAATTATACATATATATATTTGCTATGGAGCGTAATTATGTAAATTTTGTTATAGCATACAAATATGAATTTTGTGTTTGATGTGAAAGTTGCTCAGAATAAAAATAAGGACACATCAAGTGAACTTAATAAGAAAGTTGAACCAAAGCGTATGAAGCTTCCATTAAGGAACAAATAAATTGACAAGATCCAAAAATGACAACTTAGTAAACTTGTTGGAAAAAAAAGGAAATTTCTTCTTTATTTTCGTGTGTTTAGTATATAGTAAGAAATATTAATCTAAGGGTGTATTTGATAGGAAAAATAATTCATGCAAATGTTTTTATTGGAAAATAAGTAAAAAATTTATTTATTTGTAATGTTTGATAGATAAGAAAAAAAAAATTATTTCAAAAATATTTATATATTATCTATCAAAACACGGTGAAAATGAGATATAAGTGATGTGTATAGATATTATATACTTCGATCATTAAATGATCAGAGAGTGCATTTACATGAACTTTTCTTTTAAAAGTATTTTTTTTTTAAAAAAAAAAGGAAAAATAACAAGCAACAGCTAATATAGAAAATAATTAAAGTAGTGTACAAATTTTGGACCACTTGGCTTGGAAAAATTAAAATTGGGAATCTTTTGCTTGTAAAGGTGGACATAATCGTAGGCTTTCCACATTTAATCCTCATTAAAGTCTCAATTCAGACAATATGGTCCACTTAGGGTGTGTTTGGTACGGAGGAAAATATTTTCCAATTTTTCCATATTTGATTGGCTTAAAATGTTTGAAAAATGTTTTTCAAATCAACTCATTTTCCTCAAATTATTTTGGAATAAGAATTTTCTACTTGATTAGTTTGCTTGACATAATAAGTTATAGTAGAAGATTCTATGGAAAATAGTGTGCAACTTCTCTCATATTTGAATTGATTTTTAATTTGTTTTACTAAAAATTTTGTTAAATCATTTTCCCCTTTTAATTTTGTGTTAAAAAAATCTAGTCTACTTAATTATCCCACGATTTAACTTCGTTTGCATGAGCTTGTTTACATTACCGATTTAGGATTACGATAAGATGAACAAAAAGATCAAAGCAATTAGTTTCACTTAACAATATCTATAACCTAACACAGTGGAGTAGTGTTTTTCATCTATTGTTTATTGTGTTTAAGTAATCACACTATTTGTTGATATTATTGTTCCTTTTCCGAATGTTCTACCTTGCTTTTCTATTAGTTATCATGTTTTTTACACTATCATTTTTCCTTTTCATTACTACTTTGATTTGCTACACTCGAGCTAAAGATCCTTCGAAAACAGTCTATCTACCTCCACAAGGAGGTACAGGTAAGGTCTGTAACCCTCACTTGTGTGCTTTCACCGGATATGTTAATGTTGTATACTGACTCAGTAAAGAGCTACATAATCTTGATAACTCTATGACTTAGCTACGCCTCAATCCTAAATAAGTCGACCAACAAAATAGTTAAAAGAGTAGGAATTTTAATGAAGGAATATTATTATCAAATACCTATCTTGGTTAACTTTTAAATCAATGAATCTGATTACTATTAGTTACCAAAAGTTTACAACTTCCAGATGTCTACCTAATGAAAATGTACAAATTTCTGGCAGTTACATATAGAGAAAAACCATAACATCAATACAGTTATGTATGGAATTCTCAGCTAGGCAGACTATACATGTTAGTAATAGATACTGTTATTTAAATTTAACGTTAAACCCCTTCGAATTGGCTCGTCTTAGTGAGCCTCTAACGCTTTGTTCGTCCTTGTCCATTGACACAGGGGAATCAGGATTAGATGAAGCAGCATTCCAAGAATCAAGATTAGAAGATGGACATTTCAGAATCCCTTTCAAATGCTTTTTTAGTAGACAAACGCCTTCTTTGTTCGAATCATCATTTGGAGTAACCTCTTTAGCTTTGACAGATATATGATTTGTGTCATCATCTGTACTAGCTTCTTTAGATTTGTCATAAGTAACTTTGGCTCGGACAAAGGCATCATCGTAATCCATTTCACCACCTCTAACACGAGGAGAAACATCTTCTAAGTTAACCTTACTACATTTTACTTGGACATGATGATCGCCATTGGCACGTTCTATACCAGCCCATACACTTGCAAAATCATCACAGAAGGTATCCTCCTCTGTAACTTTGGCATGAATTAAGTCGTAACTAACAGCAGCTTCTTCATGTTCGGGTGCAGCATGAACTATATTGGTGATAAAAAAATCTTCATCATTTGTTGTCCGAACAAGATTATACGTATCCATTGTTTGAACAGATTGTAACTTGTCTCCCTTTTTGGTTTTAGGCAATTTGAACCATCCTTCTAAAGGGAGAGACAGATTCTTTAGAAATGAGGACTTCTTTGGAGCTTCTGCCAATTTTTTCTTGTCCTTTGTGGTGAAGAATGTTATGGCAATCACGGTGGATATGAAAAGCTGACAGATTGCACATTTGATCTGCTCATGTCTCTCGAAAGACGAAGCCTGTGTAAGGCCAATCATTTTCTTGATCCCAAGAACTTTGCGCGCCAAATCTCCTAGCTCATATCTCTTGTACTTTGAGTCATTGAAAAACTTGGCAGCCAGGTAGCCTATATCAACTTTATCTTTCGACAAGCCTAGTTCTTCAAATGGGAACATATCTTTCTTTTCTGGGATAGCAAAACCAACGAAACGAATCCTCTTGTCTGTAAGAAATTTGAGGAATGGATCAGGTAACTGTTCCCCAGAATGAAATCTGAGGATCAGACAACCTACTCCAAAACACAAAAGAACCAAGATTATCTTGGGATCACGAGGGTGGCGCATGACATCAATGCCAACAATAGGTGGTTGTGCCCAAGTCTTACCTTCTGGGAAAAGAATATCAGCTGTGAATAAAGATTCAAACTCTTTTGCCTTAAAGGTTATACCTTCTAATTTAACCTCAAATCTATTGGTTTTCAAGTACACAATTCCTGCCATATTTTTTATCCGATGAATGATGACTCTAAAATACTGCTGACATGAGCTGATGGGAACAAGAATAGAAATAATCAAGATGTATCTCACAAAAGAAGCAGGAAAAATGAAAATTCTTTAACCATAATGATGTTTTGCGCAAATATTGCAACACAATGAGTGATGAAAACTAGCAAGATGGAAAAACAAATTGTGAGTCAATGGTATCCAAAACCACAAATAAAAAAGGGAGGAAAATAATGGAAACTAGTGGTTCTTGAGAAACAAACCTGTAAAAGTGGATGGTTCTAGGCTAAAGTTGTTACATTTGAGAGGTTTATGTTAGTCAATTTAGGAGATTTCACATCCACACAAATTAGGAATTTCACCATGGAAGTTATCTCAAAATTTGAGGATTTTCAAATGTATCTGTTCCACTAAAAAAGGAGACTAGTACTAAACCAGACTTTAAAGACCTTTTTCTAAGTATTCACATCCAGAAGTGTAAAGATTGGCCATTTACCATAATTTTCATTGTTTAATTAACATCTTACACCACCACAACTTACCCAGTGTAATCCCACAAGTGAGGTTGAGGGAGGCTAAAGTACACACAAATCTACCTTAACTTGGGAGGTAAAGCGGTTGTTTTTTGATAGACATTCGGCTCAAGGATAAGCATATCAAAGCAAATAATATAGAAAGTATGACAAAGCAAAGAAAGGAAAAACAAACTACAATAAAATAGTGTGGTAAACGGAGTACAAGAGATAGTAGACAGTAACACAAATCAAAGGACTAGAAACTACATGTGAAATACTATTTTAACCAAATTGAATCCAATTTGAGAAGCTGAGATTGACTAATTCATAACCTCTCAACAGAGCAAAGGGAAGTTTAAAGATCAATTGCAATCACGGACATTGTTCAAGCAAGAAAAAAATACTAGCAAAACTTTCTAAATGCATAATAGAATAGACACAGGCTTCAAGGAATTGTCTTAAGGATTCAACATGGTGTAAAAAAATGGTCATTTTCCATTACTTGTATCGTTTGATTAACGTCTTTAGACTTCACATTCATGTTTAATACTGGAATTAACTTCGAAGCAGATGGACATAAATAGGATGAAACAGATTTCACTAACCTTCAATAACAAAAAAGAGCATTTAACTCCATTGAAGCAGAATATTACTGGAAACACACCCATGCTACCTATGAGTCTTCCTTGATTTAATATTCAGCATATTCAGATTACTAACATCCAGCAATTCCCATAACATCTTTCATTTCTCATAACAAAACACAATCTGCTTGGAACAGAAGATAATTAGTGCTTGCAAAACAATGAACAAACTGCAAGACCATCTATAGCTATGCCGAACAATATATATATAGTAAGAATAATGTATGCAAGAGAAAGAGATAGTCAACTGAACATAATACGCAATATTTCATTGGAATAGACTTCATACATTTTCAGAATTGAGAAAATTCCGAATCAAAACATCAAAGGTTCAAAACACAGAAAAACACCCCCACTATATACTCAAAACACTACAACATTTTAAGCTCTTTCACCCCTAATTCTCCTTGCAAGCTGAATATCTTTTGGCATAATGGTAACCCTCTTAGCATGAATTGCACAAAGGTTAGTATCCTCAAATAATCCTACGAGATACGCCTCAGCTGCCTCCTGTAGCGCGGCAACAGCAGAGCTCTGGAAACGGAGATCAGTCTTAAAGTCCTGAGCAATCTCACGAACCAAACGCTGGAACGGAAGCTTCCTGATCAGAAGCTCAGTTGATTTCTGATACTTACGAATTTCTCTCAGCGCCACGGTACCTGGCCTGAATCTGTGTGGCTTCTTCACTCCTCCGGTCGCCGGAGCAGATTTCCTAGCAGCTTTTGTTGCCAATTGCTTCCTTGGAGCTTTGCCTCCAGTCGATTTACGAGCAGTTTGCTTTGTACGAGCCATTTCTTATTCTCGATTTCCAATTGCTTTAGGGTTTGTAGATTTGGGATTTTGATATGAAATTTTGTTTGAAAATGGGAGACTATTTATAGAGGAAAATTTTGAAAGTTTGGGCGGGGAGGGAGGATTAATCGTGGGCGTTGATTTTGTTGACACGGATCGATGACGTGGAAGAATGAGAAGGTGATCCTGAGCGTTGGTTTTGAAAGAGTTCATTGTGGAATCAACGGTTCTGATTGAGTTGAAAGAGATGTGAGTTGCGGATCGATGACGTGGAAAGTATTGTGCTTCTTTGTTTTTTTATTTGTGAATTTTGTATAGTTGAAATGATTAGAACCGTCGATAGTGCTTTGATCGAACGGTTTAGATTGATCTAAGAAGGGATTCATGGATCGATGACGTGGTAGGATCATTTTGGACATTGCTAACTACCACAATCAATTTTTCGTGGTCACCAATCACATTAACCAAACAGTTATCAATTACTACCGATAATCATCACCATTAGCTGCTTCCTCCGTTCATATTGTTTGTCAAGTATACTAAAAATAATTATCCAAAATTAATTGTCAATTTAAACAATCAAGAAATAATTAGTCAATTTTTTTCAATTCTGTCCTTAATAATTACATAACTACTAGTTTCAAAAAGTAGTCATTTTAAAGTTACAAGACTACTTTGTTGTGAAAAAAATTGTTTTTACACTTTTCAAAAAGCACAAACCATTTTAAGAATGATTGATAGTAGGGTTATATTAGTCAAATTGCACCTTATATTAAATTTTTCTTAAGGGTTGTGCATGATCTTACCCTAACAAACAATAGTGGACGGAGGGAGTAGCATTTAGCCATATATTTCTAAATATTTATGGCAAATATTATTTGATGAAATTTTATCATGTGTTTGGTCATAGTATTTGGGAAATATATTTAACCTTTTTAAGAAATATGATTTATACCATAAGTTTTAAAAACTATCAAAACTAATCATAGGTTTGTATTACATGGCACATGACTTTGTTATCATTAGCTGATTGTTCATCATTTTCATCAACAATCATATCATCACTGAATATTGTTAGCAATCAGTGTTTAAAACAGAATTACTGATTCCAATAAACTTTGCAGAAATACGAAGTAACCAAAGTTTTAATGAACCAGTAAGAACAGAAGAACAGAAATTAATTAAGAACAACTAAAATCTATAAAACATACCAGAATCTGGAAATAGACAGAACAGAAAAGATCAAGCCCACTGAATGCACAGTGTCCCCTTAAGGAAATTATTCCCCTCTAGTATTCGAGGTTTGATTTGGAATATGTCCTCCTAGGATAGAATGATCTCAATCACTAGTGTATTGATACCCAAAATTCTAGTGTCAGCGAACCACTCAACAACAGTAAAATACACGAAGAAACTTTGTGCAGAAGAAGAAGAAGAAATCAGAAAAATTCGTAAGGAAAAAGTTTGAAGAATTAGTGGTATTTATAGCCAAAAGGAACTGATTCCAAAAGGTTGCAACCTTTCAGAATCCACACGACCATTAATGAAAGTTTGCAACCTTTCAAACGGGAAAGTTTAAATAAAATGGGTCGCGCGTGGATCCGAGTCGGATCGGAACGTTTTGGTTAATTAACTAATTAATTGAAACGTTTTGGCCATTTAATTTAATTTAATTTAATTAATTAAATAAATAATTAAAATAAACTTTGTCCAAAAAATAATCTCTCGATCGTTTTTCAAAGCCAAAGCCAAAGCCGAGCCGAGCGACGACGACGGCGCGAGGGGGGTCCCTCTTTCCAACCCTTTTAACAATTAATAGAAGTGTTTCTCTATTTTTAAACTCTTTTATTATTCTTTCCACCACCGATGAGAGACAAATGCCTCTTTACTAAAGCATAAGAGGACTTTTCAAGTTCCTCTCTTTTCATCTTCCCTCCATTTCCCATTAACTCTTGTTATATATACACAACAAATATTCCATTACTACTTTGATGTTTACGAAAAAAATTATGTAAAACAACACAAACAACTATTATAGAGGGTGTTCTTATAAAAAATAAATGTTTGGTGTTGAATTTGAATTATTAAAAGTTCTCAAATAATAAGACTTGGCCCAAATACTAGTTTTTTATAGTATTCGGGAATTTGGGTTATTTGCCAAAAATATTTGCCAAATAATGACAAATTGTATGGACAAACACTATTTGCAAAAAATTTCCCCAAATTTTACTTGGGAAATCGATGGCCAAACGGGTCCATCATTACTATATATCGTCAAGATGCCAATCACTACTATCAATCATCATCACTATTAGCTATTACTATCATCCACTATAATTATCCGTTATCACCACTAACTAACTAACTATATATATATATATATATATATATACCACCATTGTTAACCATTACTCCAACAGACCGATATAGGACATAACAAAAACATTACTGTATAATTTATTGATTTGTTACAATAAAGTTCACCATACATGAACAATTACAAAAACAAACTAAACAAATAGGGAGGAAATTAAGGAGTTCAATAATGTAAAATTATAACATGACATTCAATTATTACATCACGAGTAGTGGCATTGTACCAATAAGTTCTCGCCGTCACAGTACCTCGTGCTAGCCGGAAAACACCGGAACCACCAACCACTGGCAATTCACGATACTCGCGAGACGCTTGGTTGTGTCCGAGGATACTGAGTGTGCTGCCATTGTACTTGCCTAGGGTGAACACAAAGTTAAAAGTCATAAGTAGTTCTCTATCTTCAAACGAGGTGAAGCCATATATTCCTTGAGCTCGACCAATTATCTGTTAAAAAATTAATTGAGTAAATTTAAAACATTTAATAAGATATATAGTCAGAAACAACAGTAGTCTGCTTTGAATCTCACTGTCATCCATTATTAAAAAAAAAAAGAATGTTCATGTGCTTGACAATCAAAACGAATCAATCCACGAGCATGTTTCAGTGTTAAAGTACAGGAAAAATGTTCAAATTTACCCTTATGCGGCCCTCCCTTTCACGATTGTCTAGCTTGACTATGACATTTATCACAATGAAGCCACGTAGATAAATAAAAGATTCAAAATTTACCACTAAACTATCAAATTTGTTTATTTACCTTCTTACGATAATTCAAAGTATGTCCCTAAACAACAGAAATAGTTCAAATATGCTTCCATACATTTGAAAAGATTTAGATATACCTTCACATGCTGTGAATCAAGCTTTTCATGATAGAAAATCATCAATCGAAGGATCATATATATATATATATATATTTGAGATGAAAAATACCAGCGAGATCTCTTATGTGCCAAAAGGTAAGCACATGAACTTTAGTATTTTGAATGAGATGATTACAGACTTCAATATTTACCTCGGAATTGATATTTGGTCCAATAGTCATTGGGTTGTCCATCATCCTCACTAACCCAAAAGATGTGGGAGACAAAGAGGTAATATTGGCTTGTGCTATCTGAATTGCTGATGGATCATTTCCACTCACAATGTCATGAAAATAAAAGTGAAATTTGGTCATTTTTTCCTTTGCATGTGATAAATTCTTGAACCATTTTTCAACTCCTTTTGGACTTAAATTAAGCCCAAGAGTTGAATGCAAATTAGCAATTAACAAGCAAATCATAAACAAAAATTTCTTCATATTTTCTTTCTTATTTTGTGTTACATTCATATGAAACTAGCTAGTAACTAACTAACTATATATATATATATATATATATATATATATACAATACATAAAGGTTTATGTTGACTTTGGAAAAAAATGAAATTTGAGTTGACCTTGGGAAACTCATAAACAACTAAGTATTGACCAAATAAAAATGTGAAACTTAAGAACCAACTAATCAATGCGACTTCCATATAATATGCAGCTAGAAACGCTCCAAAAGGCTTCTTATGGTGAGTTACGTTATACCTAGAATTTCAAACTTGATATCGAAGCAGCTAAATTATAAATAATGTATAAATTTTGAATTTGTCTTAAATAACGATGTTTCAAACTACTATCACATATTGCCTATTTGAATTGACTTATTATAAGTGTTTTTAAGTCAAAGTACCTTTTAGATTTTTTAAAAATATTTGAGAAAATTTAAAAAGATGCACTTAGAAGGAAAAATTACGTGACACGACAAACATAGACTTAGAGGTTTGATCAACTTTTAATTTACGGAAAAGGGTCATATTTGCCCTTGAACTCTTAGAAAAGGGTCATATTTATCCTTCGTCATACTTTTTTGATATATTTTCCCTTACCATCCAACTTTGGATACATATTTGCCCTTGTACAGTTAAGTATTGTGTCACTAGTTTTATTAGTCTACGTGGCGCCTACATGGCTCCATGTGTATATATTTTTATTATAATTAAAATTTTATTTTCTCTCAATATGAAGCGTCGCAAGAATGAAGATAATAGAAATTAGGGCTAGGGTATTGAAATCGGGTTAATGGGTCTTTATTTTGGTTGGGTCGGATAGAATACTAAATAGAAAGTAAAATTTTAATTATAATAAAAATATATAGAGATGGAGCCATGTAGGCGCCACGTAGTCTAATAAAACTGGTGATACAATAAATATATACCCAAAGTTGGATGAAGAGTTGGACGAGGGTATATATATACAGATTTAATTTAAATGTGCTTGAAGACCATAGCCTACTTATACTATTTCCTAATTGGATCATTCCAAAAAGAATTTCCAGCGCTAACCTTGGGTACACGCAGCAGTTAGCTTATTCCTCAAGAAAATGTATCAACCACCGGACTGGTCAAATTCCGGGGATCAAGCAAGAATAATACTATACAATATATATAAAATACAAAATTCCCAGATCAAAGAATTTTACTTTTTAGTGTTAAAATTAAAATCGAGTAGACAAAATCCAAAGTGATGGTCCTTCCATTATTGAAGTTAGGGACACTTGCTTTGAGAACTTTGAGTAAACCCATTGCTGCTAGGCTTAAGAAAGAAGCTGGGTTGCATCCCAAATTCCGTAATTTCATCATCAGCATTGCCCAGGTAATTCCCATGATAAACCCTTTTAATAGTATTATGTAATAGTAATAATAGTTTGTGATTCAAGTTTTTTTTTTTTGGGTTGAGCTGAGGGTTTATTGAAAATAGTATATTTACTTGGGTGAAGTGTGCGTATATTTTATCTTTTTCACGCCTCATTATATGGGACTACACTGGGTATGTTGTTGTTGTTGGGTTGGTGATTGGATTGAGCCGATGATCTATTGGAAACAACCTCTGCATACATTTATTTTTCTTAGACCCCATTGTGTGGGCCTACACCGGCTGTTGTTGTTGGGTTAGTGATTGGATTGAGCCGATGATCTATTGGAAACAACCTCTTTTACCTATTGAGGTAGGGGTAAGCTATGCATACATTTTCTTTTTCAGACACCGCCTGTGTGTGTGGGACTATACTGGTTATATTGTTGTTAGGTTGGTGATTGGATTGAGCTGAGGGTTTATCAGGAACAAACTCTTTTATCACTTGAGAAAGAAGTCTGCATATATTTATCTTTTTTAGACTCCACTATGTGGGACTACACTGGGTATATTGTTGGGTTGGTGATTGGATTGAGCCGAGGGTCTATTAGAAATGATCTCTCTACCTGTGAGTTAGGGGTAAGGTCTGCCTAGATTCTATCTTTTCCAGACCCCATTGTGTGGGGCCACACTGGGTATGTTGTTGTTGGGTTGGTGACTGGATTGAGCTGAGAGTCTATCAGAAATAGTTACTCTACCTATGAGGTAGGGGTAAGGTCCGTCTACATTTTATCTTTTCCAGACCTCATTGTGTGGGAGTAAACTGGTATGTTGGTGTTGGGTTGGTGATTGAATTGATCAAATACATGTAAATTTAAAACTAATTGGGGTTGATTATATGTACTCCTTCTGTTTCAAAAAGACTGGCCTCGTTTCCTTTTTAGTCTGTTTCAAAAAGAATGACCCCTTTTCCTTTTTTGGCAACACTTTAACTTAAACTTTCCACGTGACTTGTTTAAGAACACAAGATTAAAGGGTATTTTGGTACATTTGACATAACTTTAATTTAGAACCACAAGATTAAAAAGTTTCTTTCTTTTCTTAAACTCTGTTCCAAGTCAAACTAAGTCTTTGAAACGGAGGGAGTATCATTTTTAGGATAAGTGTCATTCTTTGGTTGATCTTGGGTCGACATTTAAATAGGATGAGTTGGGTTGATGATTGTATATTGATTTGAATTTATTCTGTCATGATTCCTTTTCTGGAATACATCAACAATATATCCAGTATAATCTTACAAGTGAGGTCTGGAGAGAGTGGTGTGTGCGCAGACCATACCTTTATTTTGGGAGGGTAGAGAGTTGTTTTCGGAAGATCCTCAATTCAAACAAAACAATTTTAAGCAAATAATGGAAAAAAATGAAGAACATAACAATAGCAATAAGTCAATAACAAAATAATATGATAACTGAAGTAAAAGAAACAACATATGATAATTAAAATAGAAAAATAAGATAATAGGAGAGTGATAATAAAGCAAAGGGGACAACAAGTATAATAAGAGATTGTTGGTTTTAGAAGAATTGTGGAATTTTTTGTATGCGACTGTTTTGGTCATGTTTATGAATGAAAATACGTTTACCTGATCAAAATAAAGAATTGTGGAATTTTGCCGTTAAAATGGTGAGAATTTATAGATTCTAGCTTTTTTTCCAACTTGATATTCAATTATTTGTAGAAGAACTGTTGTGGGATCACCTTTTCTTGCTTTGGTTTTGGGTTGTTCAAGTCAAGAGATTGTAGGTTTTAGAAGAGCTCAAAATGTAGGAGAATCATGTTTTTTTTTTAATGGTGACGACTTATAACTTCTTGTTTTCTTCCAACGTGACATTCAATTATTTGTAGCAGAATTGTTGGGGAATTTTACCATCTTTTGTTGGTTCTGATCCACATTTAAATTTTCCAGAAGGTTGGATCATCTTAGAAGGTCAACTAAGAGGAAAATTGTTCCCTGTCATTACAATCTCTCTGTTTAGCTATGAGTCCAGTTGCATCATGTAAAGTTTTTTTTTCCTGAAGAGGGTATAAATTCTGCTGTTTTTGTATTTGATAGTATGATTAGTAGATGCTAGTGCTAGTTTAAAAGAGTGTGTCCAATTCTAAAATGTGGGTGGCTGCCTCATTGAGTAATGGCCTTAAATTTATATGAACAGAAATGTATCACGTTCTGTCTTTCAAATGTTGGCAAGTCTCTTCTCAAGTATTTCTGGTAGTATAGATATATAGAATTGCAATTCGTCACTGAAAGACTGCAAATCTTAATGCCATGCAATGACATCATTGCTCTGTTAGAAAGACTACCTGTTGCGCCTAACATATTTGTAATTGACTCCTACTACTTTTGTTCATACAAGAAAATGTGATCTAGACATTGACAGGAATATATTGACGTATTGATGACAAACTACAGTGACTAGCAAATGCAATGGTTAGACTTCACAAGCATGATGGTCATTTTTTGAAAATATTGTGTCCATTGATGCTTGTGGTATCTCCATTAAGGGATTTTACGTCTTAGAAATTTTGTTGCATGCGCCTCACTTTTGTGGTTAATACTGGTTTGTATTATAGTTCATGAGTTTATCTGAAATTTGTTGTCTACGCAGTTCTTCTCGCAAAATAGCTGTTCATTTCACGTGGTCTGTTTTCCTCTATGCTTCATGTGGTTATACATGTAGCACACTTGCATCCCTCTCTGATTGTTCCTAGATATGTTTCAATACATTCCACATATTTCGTTTCAGATGTGAATACTCTAGTAGACTTCATTCTTTCAACGTTATGCTCCACTTCTGTTTTTACTTTGACTTGTTAAGAGTTTCTGCATATATAGATCATCTTTCATTACATACATTGCTGAATCCAGGCGAATCACCGGATAACAACAACCATGCAAAGACGGATATATGGCCATGCAACTGATGTTGGAATAAGACCTTTGAATGAAGAGAAAGCGGTTCAAGCCGCTGTTGATCTTCTGGGGGAACTTTTTGTTTTCTCGGTATTGTTTATTCTCCTAGTTGATTTTTGCAATAATGTCTGATAGTTAGCTACCCTGATTCTTACCTATTACATATGTTATTTTTGTGAATGCGCAGACAAACGTTGCTAAGCAATCGAATGGTACAAATTTTTTTACACATGTAAAACTTTATATGTTCTCCTTAGTTACCCCCAAAAGAAAAAAGGAACATGTTATGTTCTCTCACTCAAATAAGGTACTCCCTCCGTTTGTGGGGTAAAGAGGCGGTCTCCGATAGACCCTCGGCTCAAGAAAATTGTTTTTGAGAAACGCATGAAAAAAAATGCAAGAGTAGAAAAGCTATGATGAAAATACAAAGGCTTATAACTCTCATCTTCCATTGATGTGTGCGCTTCGCCTAGACCAATATGACTTCTAAATCTTTCTCTGTACAACTCCCTTAAAATTTATTCTTCCAAAAAGTCGACTGCTAGTAGAACAGAAGGCACAAAGAGCCATGAGAGATATACCACCTTGCTTAGGAAATTTTCATATGTCAATATACATATCAAAGCTTTGTGCATGTGCACAACATCTGATCTTGGTAATTTAAGAATTATTGCTTTGGGTGATTTGCTTCAATGAAAATAAAGTCTCAGCTGCCTGTCATGGCAAATTGGCAACACAGTTTTGAAGGCCAGAGTTGTCTACGCTATTTCATGCATGTGCCGATGTTTAGAATCTCTACATTGCTTTCTTGCAACATAATTTTCTTATGGATAAATCTATTGAAAGGGCTTTTGACAGAGAACTCTTTTAATTCCAAGCTAGCATATGCAATAAACATTTGAAACTTAATTAAAATCTGATAGTGTAGTAGCCAAATACGTGTCAGTGGAGGAAGATAAGAGAAGGCGGGAAGTTTTTAGGGTTGGTTTTGGGTGTTTATGAAGTATTAACAGTTCAACAAATGATTCGATTCATTTACTTGCTTGCCCAAAAATATTTGTTCAATGACTGCAGTAAGTTCTTGAAAAGAAAAAACTCCAAGTCTTGACAAATTTTGTCTTGTACTTGCTGGCATAGTAAGAGTTGGCGCAAACATGCGAGGTAAGAATGCATACAATAGACCGCTTTGGCTCTGCCCTTTTGGGCCTTGCACATAGCGGGAGTTTAGTGTACCATGATGCCCTTCAGTGCTTGCTGCTACTAAATCGGATATTGTAATGTCTCACAATTTCTTAATTGGATGGTCAAGCAGTTTCTAAATTCTTTGGAACTAATATGTCAATGGAAGTGGAGAATGCAATGGAAAAGTTATTAGTCCAGCAGAGCTGGCTGAAGCTGCCATATTGAAAGTCCTAATGCCTGTTTCAGCTGCTCATTAACAGTGTGATAGAGTAATTAGGTTTAAATTAATGTCGGTGCATGTTGCATGATGCATCCCGTTATACTAATGCTTGGTCACTGGAACGTACAGATTATCTTATGCCGTGACGCATTTTGTGTATGTCACTTTCAGTATAACGACAAGCCATTAGGACTTTTTTTCTTGAATCTATTTATGTTCAGTGGAATCTAAACATACACACATCAATGTCTATGTCTTGAATCTCTTGAGACTTGTGGTCAACTTTAACCCTTGAAACATGACCTGCCGTTGCCATCTGCTGCCTGTGCATCTTCTAATTAATGTTTGTGCAACTTTTGCAATGTGCTGAACAGGTCGCAGGTGCTATTGTTGTATTTGAGGTGCAAAGGAATTCTCGGTCAGAGGCTAAGAAGGAGGAACTTCGTAGGCAAGAAATGGAGGTAATCCTATAATATTCTTCTTATTTCTTCTTAGCAAACTGTTATGTGTGCTTTATCTATTATCTAATCTTCAAGCTTGACTGTTTCATTTTCACCTGAAAGTTTTAACATTGTCCTCTTGATATTTCTCTTAAATATGTACTTTATCATCTCTCTTTGAAGTTTTTCCTTTAATATTCTATCTAAATCTGATTGCCTTGGATGATGACGTGCATTAGTCTGTTGATTTGCCTCTCGTGGCGGGGTATTTTTGCACCACTAACCACTAGTAATATCAATATTTCCACCTGTACTGTTGGATATAATTCAAAGTCAAACTCAGATATATACACCATCTATTAGAGTAGTACATGCTATTTTATTTTATCACTTCTGGTACTAGATATCAGCATGGGGTTCTAATTCAAAAAGATTTTCTTCCTTTGCTACTTTTGCTTTTTATATCTGATGATCTGGTGAACTATGTTCATGTTACGTTCCACCTAATTGGAAATTTTAAAAGTTCTATATTTCGTATAAGAACCTGTGAACTTTCTTCCTAGATATGTGTTCAAAAGTTATATCTTAGTTCAAGAAGTGTTTTTCAGAAATTGAGACTACGAGATGAAGCATTGGAAAAGGAGATTAAGGGCCTTCAAAGCAAAATTCAAGAGCTGGAACAGCTAGCTAGGGGAAAGGGACTTGCTGGTATGTTCAATTTCAGAATTCCTCATATTGGAGAAGGCAAGTCAGCAACACCAGCATGATTTGTTTGCTCAGTTTTGGCTACATAGGAATCATTTTTTTTCTTTTCATTCTTTTGATCCAAGTCCTATTTGGCTCATTTTTTTAAAAGCTCGGTCTAAGCTTCTATCTGCTCACTGTAAATAAAGTTGAATCTTGAATTAGCCGTTGTTTATGAAAGTTTTTGAATGCTAAATTTGGTGAAATTAGCCTAAATTTTGTTGTGCCATGTTCTTCTTAGTTTTACATTCATCCACCCAACCTGATAGAAAAGTTGATGTCTGTGACGATATACGCTTAAGAAACTTATCATCTTCAACTAGCATCTGATGTTGATGCTAGTTAAAAGTGAGTCTAGATGCCCCCTTATCTGCAGAAATCATTATTGATAGCAGATATCAGTAGTGATCAAGAATTTGACTATCATGGAATCTTGAAGATGATAATGGGGGTGTACCCTTTATGCCTTTCTTCCCTTGTTCTTTCTCTTTTTATTATTCACACACACAATAAAAGCCCTTTCTGCTGAACGGATCTGGATGCTGCTCATAAAGGCTGAAAAAAAGAGGCCAATCTCTCATTAACACATCATCACAAAGAGTCATATTCTTCACTTTGGTTCTTGATGAAAAGTGTCAATGGGAATCACTTTTTCCCTTTTTTTTGTCCGTCAGAAACAACCGCTCTGCTCGCCAAGGTAAGGAGTAAGGTCTACGTATACATTACTTTCTCCAGATCCCAGATCCCATATGTTGGATTACGTCGGATATGTTGTTATCTTTTTGATTTAGTGAGATTGCAGCTCTTCAAGATTGCCTTGGAAACAACTTGCAAACTTATTACCTGACTTATTATTTATTGATTTGATCTAAATATCGAGCGGTTGTTGGCAACTTTTTTTTCTAGTCATCTGTTTTAGGAAGGGAATTGATATTCCCACAACATGAGTGAGAATCTCATTGTGAAATTGTAGTCCTCAAACTTCATATTGGGAACAAGATTCTATTTTTGTCCTTATTCCTAGACAATGCAATTGTATTCCATCCACTATATTGGTGTGGGGCTAGAAAGTTACTTAATTGTTCGATCGATTCAGTAATTTTAGTCTAAATTATATATTTTTATCAAATAATTTATTCAATATGTATAAAAAAAATGAATTTAAAATTCAATTACCAACACCTAATATCATTATATTAAAATTTAGAATCTATAAAATTTAAATTTTAACTTTATCGCTAACAATCTCCCCACTTGGGCCAGTCTGTTTTGTCGGTAATTAACATTATTCTTAGGCTTAGCTATAGAAAAATGGTAATTTAATATAATTTTTAAATGTATAAATTTTATTTTTTATTTTACATATTTTTGGAGGAGTAGGAAAAAAAGAAGTTCCATGGCTTTTTCTAGTCAAATAAATAAAGATGATAAAACAAATGGAAGGGATGGTGAGATTGTTAAGAGATCTTTTTGTCCTTGAACTTTTTTTCGTGTTTGAGCTTTGAGAATAAAAAAACAATTTGTAATCTTGTTAAGTGAAATTTAGCAAAACTTAAAACACATACGTCGAAAGTTTCTATGCAGAAATAATACGAAACTTCAAGCGCAACTTCAATCACGAATACTCAACGACACTTAAATAAAGGACCCAATATCAATCATCAAACATAAATCTAAATTAGTCGAGCCAATCGGGGAGTGGGGGTATAAAAGGAAATTCAAAGCAACAACATACATATATGCACCCCTTGCCTCATGCTTTTGCCGCGTAGACATGAAATGTCATCAAAATCGCATTTTTTTTTGCTTTCTTTAGGTATTGATAGTAACCACTAACCAGTCTTCTTCTACTTTCTCTAAGCTCAAAATTCCAAGAAATCTACCGAAGCAAAATCCCAATTCTTCTCTATATAGAAGGAACACTGAGCAGCATTTTCACTTCCTCTCTATCTTCACTTGCATTTGTTCAGTTTGGTTCACCGCTAACTGGTGCAACCCCTTTTAGTTTTTTTTTGTTGGTTTACTTTTCGAATTTCTTTATGTTTGGAATGTGATTCTGCTTTTTGGCGAATTGAGTGTCTTTTTTTTCTTGTTTTTATTCTGTTTTTTAATATATATATATGCATAGATTTTAGTAGAATCTGATGCTCCAATTGTTTTTGATTCCGATAATTTGGGGGTTTCAAGTTGTTGTTTCCATCTGGAGATCGTGAGGAGCGAGTTTTATTGGTTGTTTTGAGGTTTAACTTGGGTAATCTTTCATTTATAATTTTGGGTTTCTTTGGGATTTGATGCTTGTGAGAAATACTTGGATTTGGTAAGAAATTGATGTTTGAATTTTAGTATTGTGTTACATTATGAGTTGGGTTTTTCTTCTTGTTGTTTGAGGTATTGGGTTTGTAACAGATATTCTGTACTGGTATTTATTTGTTGCATATGGTTTAGGTGTTGTGGTGGGTATGTATTTGAAGAGAAATTGATAAACAGAATGGGATGTTTAGAGTTAAGTATGTTTACTTGTTGGTTTTTTGCAGGTGAGGAGTTTAGGGTGTTCTTTTGTTTGATTGGATGAGGAAGGTTTCGAAGAGGGGTGCATGTAAGTCTGCATCACACCAGCTCTTTAAAGACAGGGCAAAGAACCGTGTGGATGATCTGCAGGGTGTGTTAACTAATCTACAATCTGCAAGGAAGGAAAGCCGAACGTATGATGTTGGGTTGCTTGAAGAGCAAGTCCACCAGATGCTGCGTGAATGGAAATCTGAGCTTAACGAGCCATCTCCGGCTTCTTCTTTGCAGGCAAGAACAAATATTTACGTCCCTTTTAGCTCCGAGCACACTTAGAGGTTTTATCTTTTGTACCTGCCCGTGGTTGGTGCATTGCAAAGAAAAAAATGCATGTTGGTGTGTCTTCTTATATGTAAGCTTGCGTTTTAATGGTCTCGTGTCTTGAAGCATGCTTGAGCACATGCACAGAGAAAGTTTTGGCATATAGCGAGTGCGGATCAATTCCACTATGTTAGTCAAAAGACAGTATTTATGAATATTGTAGGTTGTGTGAATTTATGTTTCCTATATCCTTTGTGTTGGTTTCGTTTATTGAACGTGGTATTGTTATAAGTATGTTTCTGTCTTCGGGTATTGGTGGCATAGAGCTATACAATTATGTGTCTTTCATAATGGCTGCCTTTGCAGGGAGGAAGCCATGTGTCATCATCAGCAGATATCTATAGACTGCTATTGGGTGAGGAAGAAGATGATGCCACCAGCCCATTAGCTGCACCTAAGCCTGAGCCTGATGCTCAAAAAGTTAGCGTTACTGGTTTTCAAGAGGTATGCATTTTACTTGTAATTTCATCTTCTGCAATTGCTGGACTCTTCTGATTGGTATGACCTTGTGACAGAGTTATCTTTCTATAGATTAGCTTGAGCATCACTTGATTGATATTTGATGTTTAGACCTGGTAATTACAAGGAGGTTGCTGCTTCTCCTTGGGAAACCTTTCACAATTGATCAACTTTTATGTCTAAAATAAATGGGAAGATTATTTCTAGCCCACATTGATCAATATCAATAAGAATAACAGCCGTATATGTATAGGTATCTCCAATCAAATTTAAGCTTCATCTTAATGGTTTCTCTATCAGGTAGCCATTACAGTACTATTTTCTTCCACAAGTATTAATGCTTGGAGGAAGTCACATTTGACATATTGTTAATGCCCGATTGAACGACATAGAATAAAACTGAGAGTATCACTTGAATTAATCTGAAAGTGAGTGCTATGTACACTTTGGCCTTTTAGGAAGAAACTGATGGTCTAATTTGGTTTGAAGTTCATGTCTGTTGTGGCTGCTATTTTGCTTGAAGTTTTCCTTAACCATTATCCTACAGCATGTTTCTCATTTATGTATATAGCCTCCTGACCCTTTTCTTCATATAGCTTTGTATATCTCCTTTGTTGGTTGATTTCTAACAAGTGAAGATTAAACCTTTTGCAATCTTTTGTTTCTTCAGCTGGTTTAGAATGCCTGTTTAAGTGATCAATTAATTCTTACCTGTTAAGCAATTTGTTTGCTGTAGGGTTTCAATGTAACTCAGGTGCTGCAGGAGCAAGGTTTCCAGTTGGTTGATCAATGCAAAGGCTTGCCTTTGATGGTTAATAACACAGTAGTCAACAATCTTGGCATTGCAACACAATTGGATTACCATTCTTTTGATTTGCATCACGAATACGATCAGCAGTACTTACCTGGATTTGATGCTTTAAATCTCTGCCTAGAGGATGCTATGCCTCCTATTCATATTAGTCCTCCGCCCTCTGCTTTCCTGGGGCCGAAATGTGCACTTTGGGATTGTCCTCGGCCTGCGATGGGGTCAGACTGGTGTCAGAAGTCTCAAGACTACTGCAGCGACTATCATGCTTCTCTTGCACCTAATGAAGGCTATCCTGGGAGACCTCCAGTTGTTCGGCCAATGGGTATTGGCTTAAAGGATAATTTGCTTTTTCAAGCTCTTAGTGCTAAAGCACATGGAAAAGATGTTGGTGTTCCCGAGTGTGAGGGTGCTGCCACGGCAAAGTCCCCCTGGAATGCACCTGGTGAGAGTTCTGGGGCATATCTGTATTCCTGATTGCTGAGATTTTTTGTGTACTTAGTGTTACACTTTTACTTGTGAAATCTGATATCCGCTGGTTTGCTTATGCTTCTGCAGAGCTATTTGATCTTAAAGTTGTTGAAGGTGAAATAATTAGGGAGTGGCTTTTCTTTGATAAGCCTCGAAGAGCATTTGAAAGTGGAAACAGGAAGCAGAGGTCATTGCCAGATTATAATGGACGGGGTTGGCACGAGTCAAGGAAGCAAATGATAAATGAATTTGGTGGGTTGAAGAGATCCTACTACATGGATCCACAACCGATGAAAAATCTAGAATGGCATCTTTACGAGTATGAGATCAACAAGTATGATGCATGTGCCTTGTACAGATTGGAACTGAAACTTGTTGATGGGAAAAAGATTCCCAAAGGGAAGATAAGCAATGTATCAGTTGCTGATTTGCAAAAGCAAATGGGAAGACTAACTGCTGAATTTCCTTTGGACAACAAGCGAACTGTGAAGGGCAGAGTGAAGGCTAATATGAAGTATGTGGGAAACATTCATACTGCTCCGGTTCCAATTGTTCCAACTTGTGAAGGATTTGATTATGGGAATAGCGACCCTTATGACTATCTTGTCGACGATCTGGATGGCTACTTCATAACGTAATTATATACATTCGATGATACTCTTTTTCAAACAAGAGGCTTTTCGCCTTTGTATTATACAGCAGTTTCATCTTGAGACTCAAACATCCGGTGGTAGAAGTGTTACCCTGGTTCTGTTTATTCATCAGTCGGGGTCAACCAGATGTCTCCCCTTTCCGTGGGCTTATGGTCAATGCTTCTTTGTCATGTGAGACGCGGTCCCATCTAACTATGGAGCACACTTTTAACTGCATGAGAATGAAAACCCTTTTTACTTGTTCTCAATCTACATACTTTAGAACCAAGTTGACACTAAATGTATTTATGTTGTAGTGTCGAATTTGGTGACCAAATGTAATGGTCATTTTCTTCAACATCTGCTGCTTTCTATGTGTAATGGGGTTCCATTATTATGATTTAATAATTTTTTTTGGTAATATTTGCGTTAACTATGTTCAGGTAGGCCTTCACTCCAAATGGGAAAGATATGCTCCTTTTAACATTGACAACTCTAATAAGCTTTGTTATACTAAAGGGACGTAACAAGTGTCCCTTCAACAAGTACTCAGTGAAATAATCGATGCGATGGACGAATTGGTTCAGATACTTGCACCTATATTGTGCTGAAGATATGTTAATTGCAAGGTTAGGATGATTTGTCAGGAAGTTGGTTGGCTTATATTGAACTGGACCAGCCAACTTCAAGCTTCTATAATACTGCTAAATGACTATTTTGAATCCTTGATTTCAAAATTCCAGATATGGTTTGAACAGTCACCCTATAACATGTACTTGAGACATCATGTAATGGGAGAAATAAAACTACTTGACATTAGGTAGATACGTCGTTAATCCAATTTCATAGAAACAGTTGTACTTGCACAAGCAGAATATAAACAAGATAGGTTCTGCGTCTATTTCAAACTATTTAGACATAGAAAGCCTCTTAAATGGAGTTACTTATTAGACTCCAGCGAGGCCTGGATAAGTTTCTCGTTCTTCTGAGGCAGTGAGATAGAACTATTGCCAACGGTCTACTCATAGTCCTGAGCAGTTCATCAGGATCTATAAGAAACATCTTCTTCTTCGTAGTTGTTGACTCGTTCACACTCGTCGATCCATTCACTATATCTGTGAGTTCCCAACAAAGACACATGAGAAATGCAGAGAGGAGAGATAGTTTACAGTAAATGTATGTGAATTCAGTATAAATATGTGTGTACTTCTCAAAATAGTTTAATATCTATATCCATCACTGAAGAAATCAATGGCAAGGTTAGGTGCACTTACATATCAATAGGTTCTGTTAGCGCTGCAAAGACAAACACAAAAAGAAAAAACTTGTTAGCGATCCAGTTATACTTGTGCAAGCAAAAGTCAAATGAGACATTAAAAGGGTGAAAAGACATGAAGCCACGGACAAAATCTTTCGTCAATACAAATATGGCATGAGCAAATGCAATATGCAGTCTTATCTGACAGAAGGCAGATCCTTTAATCTAGAGTCTGTTAGGTAAACTAGAAAATACTCATTCATTGAACACATCGATAAAGATTACTCTTCTATGTTATCCCCATTTCCTCTTGACTACTTTCTCATGGAAGTAGTAGGTCGCAAGTTATACATTATATTTTCCGACCAAGTGGTTTTAATCATCTAATCAAATGTTATTACAAAACATAAGCATAGATAAATTAATAGATACTCGAGAAACCAAAAGTCTAGATATACCTGTGACAGTGGTGCTGAAGCTCTCCTGGCAGATTCTGCAATTTGCCTCGCCAATCAAGTTTTTCATATCACTGGATACCAGGAAAGATGAACGTGCCATAAGAGTGAGCCAAAAGCAATTACATGTTAAATTAATTGTTGACCAAGAATGAGAAGCAATGCAATGTCCAAAGTGGTGAGGAGGCGGAGAGGGAAAAGCTCAATCTATCCAATGTCTATGAAGAAAAATAACTTGGACATGAGAATGCTATATAATTAACTTACATGCGACATTCCACGCTGGTGCCATGGCTACAGAAAGGACAGCTGAAAACAGTATCAAGTTTGTCCATCCTCTTCCTTGGAGGTGGCTTTGATTTTGCCTTCCTCTTTCCCATAGCTCAAGTTACTGTAAAGTGCATTTAAAAACACAAGTCAGCCGCAAGAACGTTAAAACTAACTACTAAAAGGAAGTCTGAGTACTTAACTATTCTATAACCCATCTTAATTAATTCCATTATAATAGATCAAAACTATGAGCTATTAAGTTACTGTGGCTCATTGCACCAAGATAGCAGCAGAGAACAATTCTGCACTAGACTGATATGATACTATCATAGTGCCAACTACCAAGATCGCAAAGAAATAGTTATACACCGATAGCGGTTTAACACAAAGAAAACACGTCCATGCTTATATTTTTCTCTCTTTCTTTTACCCCGAACAAAGTATAATGCAGTATGATGGGAGATCCAGCTTAGAGTTACAGTCTTAAGCATACTTCACTCCATATTCTCCGAATGCAAGTTGAAAACTAGAGTAAACGAGACCTTGAAGAACATTCAGTTCCCCTAAAATCCTACAGCAACGACATTCAAAACAAGATCCTCAAATTGTTGGACCCCCATTTAAAATCCTCCTTAGATTGTCCTCTAATTAAGTCATATACCAGAAAATAACAACTTTTAGCAACCAAATCAAGACATAAAACTACAAACATGTGCAGAGAAGTAAAAAATCAATTTTTACGAAAAAATTAGCATAACGGAAATCCGAAGCAGCCAAGAAATAACAGATTTTCCTGCAACACCAAGATGTCTTTTCTGAGCAATTTACAGATGAAAATTGATTATCAATACTTCATGAAACAGAAACAAAATCAACAGATTCGTCAAGGAAAGACAAAAGGGTGTTTGCCAATAAAATCAAAAAGTTAATCAAACATATCAATCAACAGATCCAGATTTTCTATACACACACACACACACACACACATATATATATTCAAAGTCTTCTCTCTATGCTAGATCGAAAAAAACCCAATCAATTATATGCAAATCGGGATCAAAGGGTGTGTTAAAAAATCGGAAGAGAAATCAAACCTGAAATCGGTTGAACAGCAACAAAAATCAAAATCGCCTTTCAATAATCTGCAAAAAAAACAACAAAATTGAATCTTTTTATACAAAATAAATTCATAAAAAGGATTGAATTAGAAATTCGATAAAAAGGGAAATCACCTGGAAACCCTTGGACCTCAAAGAAGAAGAAGAAAAAAAAGCTATCAATTTATGGCGTTGGAAGGCCTTTTTATCACAATCGGAATTGTATTTATACCTTGTCATTTTATTTATTTTTGGGGCTCTTTTCTCGAGGATAAAAAAATGTATCACGTAAATTAAATCTAAAGACTCATACAAAATTGTATGAGGAGTAAGTAATAATTGGTGCAAATTTTTCTCGGTCTTAATTGCTAAAAGGAAAAAAAGTTTATTGTAAATTATATATGATTTCGTGTGTGTAAATTATTTGGAAAAGTTAAAGGCTCGTAGAGAGTTAGAAACAAGCTAAGTAAAAAATGCAAAATTTTTTTTTAGACAAGCCGTAAAGATCTTGTCGTCTATGACGCGTCAATTTTATTTATGCTGTAATATGGAGATATATTGTGAACTATTAATTATTCCTCTAATGTTTTAAAATTTACCCTTGGAAATAATAAATAATAGAGAATTATAACCTCTCCAAAATGGGATGTCAGCTATAACCAGGGGCAAATTGACATGTTAAAAAATGGATACATGACCTTTCGATATCTTTATAAAATTCTTTAAATATTTAATATATATTATAAAATTAATGTAATATTATTTATTGACATATATACAAATTAAATGGTGCAATTGATTAAAAGTTAAATTACATATATACCTAGTGGATTTTTTTATTAATATTGCCTTCTTGTTTGATGTTTTATGAATACAAGGAACTTGATCAAAGGGATACAAATTCAAAATGCTTAAAGATTTTAAAGTGTGATAACGATTACAAATTCGTCTCCTCCTCCTCCTCTTACTTTTTTTTTCTCCAATAAATTTTAATAATTATCGACTTCAAAATTTATTACAACTATAATAGTTATCGCAATAACTAAAAGATTTGTTGAGTTATTACAACATCTTTTGATGATAATTGATAGTTGTTGTAATAATTCCATAATTATTGCAACAACTCAAATTTATTATAGCAAATAAAAATTAGGTCACTCATCTTTTAATATATAACTTTTAAGTTATCTTTAATTGAAAACACTTAAATAATCGAATGTATCTAAAAGATGTATATATAGCCTTCGTGTGTCCCTTTAATTGGTCGGTCCTACTAGCATGTTAGAAAAAAAAGAGAGAGGATATTTTTGCTCTAAATTCACGTAAGATAGAGTGTCAAATTAAATTAAATTAAATGTTCAGATGATCATTTTATTCGAGTCAAATGTATTGAGGGAGATAACGTTTTATTTATTTGTTATTTGTATCGTATTTCACTATTTCTTAACAAACCATTTATTGACAAAATATTAAGATATATTAACTTTTGACAGACTTGACAATCTTGTCGATGTAAATAAGCTTTTTTTTTTAAGAATTGAATAAATTTTTATTTTCAACTATTCCAACACCAACTTTTTAATAGGTTTCTTGTCAAAGTTCCTTTATTTAGTTGAAGACTTTGATCGTAGTAAATTTACATGCATAAACTCAATTCACTTACAATTATATTGATTAGAATGACTAAGTTTAATGAACTTTGAATTTCGATCAGTTATAAATCCTCATATTATAATACCACAGCACCAACTGATCGACATTCCATTAATCAAATTACAAAAAAAAATATTGAAGAGTTATCATATCTATATTACTATATATAATAAGTGGGAATGTCTACTACTTAGCACATGACAAGTGTTGGATGATATGTGCTTAGATAGTGTTGTACATTCTTCTTTTATGGTTGTACCTTTAAAATTTATATTATTGAACAATTTAACACCATTAATTACCTACCTCATTTGGGCCCATATTTAAAATTTTAAAAGACTTTAATGCTTTATACTTATTCTATTTCCACTTTGGACAAAAATATCCTCCCAATATGCATATTTTTTAAAACAAAAAGTGGGATCCATTATTGATGTATTGAAGGATGCTTTGGTAATTTTCCTATGATGAATTCGTTTTGTTTGTTGTTAATTTTTTTTTAAATAATTGTATAAAATATTATAAATCACAATAATTATTTACTTAAATATTCAAAAGATATAAAAATATGTAAAAGATCTTATTAACTCTTCAAATTTTATCAGTGACACATAAATTGGACAAATGAAATAATATATATTATTTGAAAATTACTTAGA